CAGCAATAAAATTATGAAAAAAAATCGAAATTTTTAAAAAAAAAATACTAAAAAATACTTAAAATTTCTGATTTTTTTTCCTATAAATACCTATAAATACCCTTCACTTTCAACACCAATTCTCATACATTTTATTCTACTTCTACAATTACTCAACATTTTTTTCACTCTTCACTCAACATTTTCATCTCTTTCACATTGTAATTTTATTTCTTATTTTTATGGCTTCTTCTATTGAAACCGGAGGGGCGTGGAGCACCATGGCTTCTTCTTAGTTTTCAACTGCATCACAAAATCTTACCAAAGCCTCCAACGTAGTGGACTTCCCCATTCGGGCAACCTCATCCACCTGATCAGCAGATGCTCCATACGCCAACATGCGTATAACAGCTGTAAGCTTTTGCTCCGGAAGAAGGCCCAAAACCCCAGTAGCATCACACTTTTGAACAAAGTATGCATCATAATTGCAAATATCATGCATGACTTTATTGAACAAATGAGGTTGCATTCTAAATCGCCTTCGAAAATCAACATCAGAGTACAAAGCAGTTGAGATAAAATAATCTTCCAAAAGATTCTTACCCCGAGAATGCCTATGTCTGTCCACATTCCGGCGACGGCCGACTTGTGAACCACGGCGGCGACCTTGGTTCTCTTCCTCTTCCATTGCCACTGCTATGAGAACTTGTTCATCAATTTGCCTCTGCAACTCATTGATTCCATCGGCTCTACGGTTTCTCTCCTTTCTTTCTCTCTCATGCCGAAAAGTGGGAAGGTGTGCATAAGAACAATAAGCAATACCATTGGTTGCTACTGTAAGCTTGTTTCTTTTTCTGTTTAATTATAGAGCCATGTCAATGATGAATGGGTTCCACTAAGCCAGTATAGCTCCTCAAGCCAAGTGAGTTCCACTAAGAACCAAATTCACTTGCAAAAAGAAGTTGCAAAAGAGACGACTGGACTTTAACATAATACGGACGTCCGCATTAGAGAAGAACTCATATATATATATATATATATATATATTGGAAGCTACCTGCATATTTTCCAGGATAGGAAGTTTGTGTGCATGCCTATTGTTTGAGGCTGCAAAGGAGTTGGAAATTTGAAGGACCTTACTCAGTGTACCTAGTCAGCTTATTTATTTACATAAGAAAAATAGTTCCCAAGTTTGTCCCTCGTACAAGTTTATTTTCATTATGGATATTTGTTTTTCATCTTATTCAAAAGCTTGTCACGGCTTCCAAATCAGATTCAGAACATATATATGGTGTCTTATACTTTTCAATCTCATGTTTTCTCCGATGACATGCAGCATCAAGAAAGTGCCAAACTTGAACTCAGTTCTATCAAAGCTTAAGGCGAACATGATAATTTAGATCGAGGGACTGAATTTCTTATTAAGAAGGCTTCTTTTGAAGTTGGTGGCACTTGCAAAAAGGAAACTGCGGAGTCTTGCTTTACCAAGTTACTATGGCAGCTTCACTGCGCAGTTGCTTCATTTTAGAAACATGGTGTTATCTATATTTTCAAACCATTGATTAAAAGAATATATATATATATATATTTTCCAATTACATCACAGGGAATATATATACTTTCATGCGCTTTTTTGTCTATTTGCACTCTGTTTCTTTCTTGTTATTTAATTCTTCTTTTTTATACAATTTAATTTTTCTTTTATTAACAAGTGAATATGTCAAAGTGCTTTTTTTCTTGGGAGTTTCACTAAAACACCCAAAATGGAGGTTGAAATTATAAAAAAACCCAACACCCAAAACACTTTATAAACACACCCAAAACCCATCATTACACACACTCAAAACCCATTTATAAACACACCCAAAAAGTTGACTTTGGGGTTGATTTTGGGTGTGTTTCTATGTTTAAATAGTGCTTGGGTTTTTTTATAAATACATGTCTAGGATTGGGTTTATTTATAAATTTGTATTCTTTTATTTCATGGAACTAATGAGCAATCTGACTCTTATCTCAACCAAAAGAAGAAAAAGAAATTGAAATGTTTGACCCACGGCCCATGGATCACGGGTCACCTGACCAACCCGACCCATTTCTCCACCCCCAACTCAATTTTCATTTCACCATTTTCACTCTGGAAAAACCCAGCTAAACCCTAACAAACGCCATGACCCTCCACTCCATAGTGATACAGAAGCTACTGAGCACCAACGCCCATTTGGGTCGTCGAGTAGCAGCCCACCACTTCAAGCAGTTCACCTATGGAACCCGCAATGGCATGGCCATCATCGACTCTGATAGAACCCTCATCTGCCTCCGCACCGCCACCGAGTTCATCGCCGCCCTCGCCCAGCAGAAGGCCCGCTTCATGTTCGTCAACACCAACTCCCTCTGGGATGAGATCATCGAGCAGATGACGAAGAAGATCGGCTGCTACAGCCCCTCCATGAACTTGCTGTGGCGCACTGGTGGGGTCCCTACC